ATAAATTGATCAAAATACCTCCAAAACTTTTTAGGGGTATTTTGGTCACTTTTTTCTTGCAAATTATTTTTTTGATATTTTATTAGATTAACTTATTTTTAAAGAACACAAGTTCAAAATTTCAAGTTATTTGGATTTGTAAAAAAAATATTAAAATTTAAATACAAAATGAGGTCGTAACTGTCAGATCGGTCCAGATTCAACTTGGGTCATTGGGCTCATATGTTCATATGAGCTAGTAGGTTAATCTTAGCATTTTCTTATATATATATATATATTCCGATGAGAGAGCAGATGTCTCCATAGATATTAGCTCTCTTTCTCTATCTCTACTAATAGTTGAGAGAGAGAATCAAGTAGGATGTAAGTTATGCCAAGGTTTGAGACTCTGGACAGCGAAACCAACATTCCACTTAAAATCATAGAGGGACAATCACCTAGTTTTTTCGGTTTTTTCCTTTAAAACTAAAAAATTATAAGCTAGATTTTCAGCCATACCCACCTCAAACCATCAATTTCTCTTTCATCACATCACAAACAATATCAAATACATGAAAATAGAGATCATAAGAGTAAAGAACTTCAAAACCAACATTTCCTGTCATCATCTCTAGAGAGAAAGAGAAGCCCTGCGAAACAATCGCTGAAATCACAGCTGGAATGTTGATCAATAGATCTTGAAACAAGAAACGACGTCTCAATATATTTTTTTGTACATGGTAACATAGGAATGGAACTCGGGACGTTGGGGTATGAAATCCTAGCCTCTACCATCCTGACTGAGGTCCTTTTCATAAAAAAACATCTCAATATTCTTTTAGTTTTTTTAAGGTAATGAAAATTCATAATGCATTAGCCCCATTTTTTTATGAAAACTCAAACATTATTTAGAACAATTTCTAGTATTTTTTTGAAAATATCTTAAGGTTGGATTCTTCCGATCCACCAATTGGAATCTCTGATCCGCCGTTCGATATTGGTTTTGCAGATGACAGATCCATTATTTCAAATATTGTAATAAACAAACTATAATTACTGAAACATGTGCTTCTAAAAATCATTGTAATAAAACTGTTAATTATAAGAGAAAAGTATAAAAAAATTGCAGTACACAGCACCATATGCTTGCAGAACTTTTAGGGCATAATACCCTGCAAACTTGTACTCATCCTACTATGAGCTAGGGCGATGAGTAGTAGAGCTCTCGATGTCATGCGCTATAGATGGACAATTTGGCTAAAATGATGTTGGGCAGCTGTATTGCTATTAAATCAAATTGAAGGCATACCATATACCATACTAGTGACGATTAGAATCTTGCATGGTATTTGAGATCATCAAGATAAGCCAGCTGCTTCATTTTGAGGTTGTCAGCACTCATGATGAACCAGCCATTTCATTAGGCTTGTGTAGAATGTGCCTTTGAACTTTTGCAAGGTGATGTGGCTTGTTCCAGCCTTGTGATTCTCAAATTATAGGTGTGGACAATACTTGCTCTCATGTTGTACAAAAGAAAACTTAAGTTATGTGCAACCTCACTCATTTGAGCAACATGAGAAATGAGACCTGAACCTCAGTTTTGAGGTGTCTGCACCACGGTTGGCAAATTGCCATGGCAGTAAACTGCTGAGGAACAACTTTGGTTTTGATTCAAAAACTCACTTAAACATATGAAGTCCAAAATTGCATAGTGCAAAAAAAAAAAAGTTGATGCTTTCTTACAATGTTTCAAAACTGGACATGGCTTTGGCACGAGCCAAGTAACTTGGCTGAGTCTGAGTCGACTCGGCAACTAGTGTATAGAGCCCAAAAGGACTAGAAAAATAAAAAAAAATAAAAAATTGTTTATAAAATAAAAACTGTGAAAGTGAAAGAATACCAAAGACAATGTAAAAAAGTCCAAATAAGCTTAAAAAATATATAAAAATGGATTTAAGAAAAATTGATTTGTAGTTGGAGATATTTCATAAAATCCAAAAAAAGGAAAATACAAGAATTAGGCAGAAATTCTCACAAACCATTGTAAAAAAATCGGAGTTACATCATATATGATTTTTATACATCAATTCCACATTCCTTTTAAATTTTTATGATACATATTTTTTTAAAATGGTCCAAGTTTTGCACGGGTGATGATGGTTGGGATAAGGCTCAAATGATGATGAAGGTTTACATGGCTATTCAGCTCAGCAAGAGGCTGAATCTAACTTGATTGAGTCCTTGATCGCTGATTTCAAATTTGACTAAAAAAAAACTATGATTATTTCATATTCGACTTGAAGAATCTAACTTAAAAAAAACGGTATATGTGTGCTTGTTGTTTAGTGAACATGCACAAAAACAATTTTGACCCCTTCTTTTCTGCTAATGAAGATCCTTGAAGAGAAAATTCCAAGACCTTATACAGAGGGTCGTTTTTTGCAGGGTATGTGTGGTGCTGATACTTTCATTAGTGGCTCAATTCTTAATGCTATTAAGCAGATAGTGGCAAAAGAGGGGCCCCAAGCTTTACTGAGAGGGCTTAAGCCCAGAGTGCTTTTCCATGCGCCAGCAGCTGCAATCTGCTGGTCCGCATATGAAGCCTGCAAAAGCTTCCTTCGACATCTTAATGAGCACCAGACACCCTAAGATAAAAGAGTCCCTTCCCATTGCGCTTTATTTTGAAACTTTTAAGGCTTAGCTGTTGAGAGCTGCTTTTCCCCCTTGATTTTGTAAAATGTGTAATTTATGGCAGCTGGAAGCAGGGACGCCACTCCACCATTGTTACTTCTGGTTCAGAGATAATCTGCTGGCCAGTGTCCAATAATATGCGAGGGGAAATGAAGAAATTAAGGAAGAGTTTGATGTTTCATAGGAGTTTATTTTGAGGTTTGAGAAGAAAAAAAAAAGTTTGTCATTCTCAAATTAGACTGAGAAAGTGCAGGTGATTTCAACTTACGGGATATACTAGGTTACATACACAAAATATTTCGATGGAACACGCCAAGTTTAGTTACTGTTGATTCAGGAAATGAGTGGTGGAGATTAGCCGACTTGTCCAAATCGGAGTACATATCCACTGCCCCATTTCTGGATGGTGGATGCACTGCTTGAATACCCGCTAATGGGCTTGGGCCTGATTGGTTAGCAGTTTCTGCAAAAAAAATACCGCGTACACAGGAATTGGGCTTGGGCTTGGGCTTGATTGATTAGCAGTTTCTGCAAAAAATACCTCAGTTTCTGCAAAATAAGTAGGCCACTTTGGTCTTTCAGAACAGTTTATTCTGATGTTAATGGTAGTTTTGTATGAGTATTTTGCTATTATCTTTTTGACGGGTAGTTTTGTAGTTTTATAATCATGAAGGTTGTGGCCGTAAAACCAGTAAGTTGGCGGATGATCTAAAGATTTGAACCGGCCATTAAGGTCAGCTCATGTGCATACAAGTGCCATCCCCACATCCAACACATTGTCATAAATTTTCTTTCAAAAAAAAGGTATATGGTTGTATTTTATATTTTTCATTAGGAATTTATGAAGTTAAAAGTAGACGCTCTTTTTGTTTTTTTTTTCCTTTTTCTTGGGGGGCATAAATTCAGTTGTTAGTGAAAAGTATGGGGTGTTAATAGATTCCATTGTATGGTACTCCTCAATTAGAAGAACTCAAGCATCAGATCTTCGGAGGGGTATTTTGGGAGTAAAAGAGATAAGTGTCTCGGAATGTTAGATGGGTCTTGGGCAGTGGTGAGAACATATTTTTATGGCATCATAAGTGGGTTGGAAATAGGATCTGAGATTTCTCCTTCCCGCAGGTGTACTCAAGAATGGTGTGTCAAACAGCCAAGGTAGCATAATGTTGCTATACAGTGAAAAACTCTCAAATTTGACATTTGCGCTTTCTTTAGGGAAGGGTTTGGGATAGAGTGGGGGAGAAATTTGCGGCTTTACTGAACGAGCTGAATAGAGTTTATATCGTAAGGGGGTTGGAAGACAATGTGATTTGGGAGATTGAGAATGATAGTGTTTTTTCAGTAAGATGAATGATGGTGTTTTTTCAGTAAGATCTGCACATAGATGGTTGTATGATAACATGAAGATCGAGAATGATGGTGTTTTTTCGGTACGATCCGTATGTAGATTGTTGTATAATGACAAGCATAGAGAATTGTTACATCCTTTGAATGGGGTGTGGAAATTTCCAAGTCCCTATAAGATCCAAGCTTTCTTATGGATTTTTCTTTAAGGGAAGACCTTAACAATGGATGATCTCCTTAAGAGTTGAAGGGAGTTTTTATAGGGGAGGGTAAGGTACTCATGGGTTGTACAAATCTTCTTGGAGAGAGAAAGAGAGTTAAAGAGAGAAAAGATTTATAGAGAGAAAGAAGAGATAAAAAAGAATGAAAGAAAGAGAAAGAATAGATAAAAAAGAATTAGAGAGAGAAAGAAGAGATAAACATAAAAAGAATTAGAGATAATATAAAAAGAAAAAAGAATGTCGTATAATTTGGGTTAGTTTTTATCGTACTTAAAATGTCACATAATATAAGTGGGTTTAACATGGCTTAGTCGTATAACATAGGTTGGTTTATCATGGGTTAGTTGTATAACATAGGTGGGTTTGGGTTAGTCGTATAACATAGGTGGGTTTAACCTGGGTTAGTTTTTACGGTAATATGAATATCGTGAAGCTTATTTTGGTAAAAAAAAATCCAAAATTGAAAAAAAAGAGTATGGACAAGGTTTTATGGTAATACGAATATCGTGGAGGTTATTTTGATAAAAAAAGTCTAAAATTGAAGAAAAAGTGTGTAGACGAGGTTTATAAAAGCTGGTTTTTTCTAAATAAACTAAAATTGAAGTATACTTGCGACCATTAGATATGACCCAGTGAAATTTCATCTATTAATCGGGTCCTTGTGCATCCTTCCACCAGTCCACATGATGCTGAGGGAATACTTTTCTCACATCAGCCTGGGATCCCTGCTGTACTAGTAAGAACGAGAACTATGTTTAACCGTCCACATGTGTAGTCAAGAGGTTGAACCCGCCCTTGACCCAACTCAGCCCTATAGGGTCAGCTTGAGCCCTGACCGGATTGGGTTGGAGAGGCCCAAATGCAAAATAAGCAACAAGAAAAAGGGTCAGGTCAAGCCATGGCCATGGCCTGACCTAACCTAGCGATCGCGCCATGTTTTGTGGCATACGCCTAGTAGGGTCATGCCAACCATGTCAGGTGGAGCCACCCGCCTATCATCAGCCCGCCCTAATGGAAATACCTCATTTCTGGAATTTTTTAGAAAATCTCTACTTTTATAGTAAAAAGTAGTCAACATATTTTTTAGTTCAAGTCCCAATTTTTCGTGTTTTTCCCATTTTACCTTTGGCCATGATTTTTTATTTTTAACTGAGAAAGCAGTTTGGACATTGAATATTTGAGCCAATTATCTCGAAATTTATTCTAGCTTTTTTCTTAATGGATGGTGTTTAGAATATTGAATATCCAAACTTGTTTCACTCAAAACAAATTTGTTTGGGTTCAAACATCCAATATTTGAACGAAAACAAATCTTCTTTCAAGGGTGGTTCGAATATTGGAAGTCTAACATAGTCTTTTACTTAAAAAAAGGCAGTCCAGACATCAAAATTTCTAACTATTCTATTATTCAACATAAAAGCCCTTGGTTTTTTCTTTCTAAAAAGTAATGAGATGTTTTAGTTAATGTCAATGTTTTCTTTTTGGGAGTAAATAATAATAATGTGAATTTTGATGTTGCACGTGAAAATGTCAAAATACGGGTATAAGCTTGCAGCATACTATATAATGGCTTCCTTTAATTTACTATTGTTTCCTCAACCACATGATAAGAGAGAGTGTCATATGCTACCATGAAAGAAAGACCAAGACCAATGTGACTTTTTGCCTGTGAATATAATTTTTTTTTTTTAATCACTTTTTTATTTTGGCAAAAAAATTACTTACAGATGGTCTTATTACATTCAATAAATATTTCAAAATAAAAACAACATAACAATAAAATAAAACTCAACCACATGATGTCATTTATACAACTAAACATTATGCTTAAGAATAAAGATAAATTTACATGAAATAACAAAAGATGCCGGATTACTTCAACCGGGCTTATTACACCCCACACCGAGTCACCAACATCCGATGGCACGGGATCAGCGGTCTAATTTCAATATCGAACCGGGAAAGCTAATTTCGGCCAAATTGAGTAAGCACCATTAAATCTCTACAAAACCCTAACCCCAAAATAATTTAGGCTTAACCCTAATTTCTCAACCCTTAATATCTTTAGGTCAAGAGAGAGAGAGAGTAGGAGGCCTAGGGTTGGGACGTGCCCCCTATGGGTCTTAAGAGAGAGAGAGGTTAGAGAGAGAAACCCTGAGGAGAAAGACCCCTATGGGTCTTAAGAGAGAGAGAGGTTAGAGAGAGAAACCCTGAGGAGAGAGATGAGAGAGAGAGTTGTGGAGAGAGAAGGTATAAAGAATAGGGGAGGGTACACCCTTATTTATAGTGTAAAGTTAGGTTTAGGGTTTCTCATAGTTTACCTCTTTCTTGATATTGAATATAAACCGTTGATTAGGGTAACTTGTGGGGTGAGTGATCTGAGCCATCCATTCCATAGATGGGCCATCAACATTATGGAAGGTGCATGGACCATTATCCCTATTTTCTTAAACCATTTTCTCATCAATATATTAAATAAATTAAATCTATTAAACTATCATGCATTCCATAAAATTGCATAATTCATCTCATATATTCCATAAGAATGTGTCAAATATTATTAAATTAATATATGTTATCTCATTTAAATAAGATATGGTCAATATTTACTATATTACAAATTGACCACATGTCATACGATACACTTTCCATAATTCAAATTACTTCAACATAAAGCAATCAAAGAAGTATCCAAGGGGTGGGGCGTGCCACCCTTAGGTGGCGCATGTGGGCCCCACCCCCATACCACATGGTGGGCCCATGTGCATTATGGGCCCCATGTAATTTTTATGAAAAGTACAAATATAATAAAACAATTTGAAAATATTATTTGAATTTCTATAACCTTTTAAAATTAATTACTTCATTTTTATAAGTCCAAAAATCATAAATAAAATATTAAAAGATTCAAACAAATTCAAATAATAAATCTAAAATAATTTATATAATAAAATGAACACGGTTAAATTAATTTGATGAGAAATGGATCCATATAGTTTAGGAATTCAATCTGCAATAATGGGGTACTCCACCTTCAATTGTGGACTACTGACTACAATTGTTTTATCGAACCGACCCACTATTTCCCATGACCCACAGTCCAAGCAGGGACTCATTAACGAATCATCAAAGTCTGGTTGATGAGCCAAGGGGTCGCAATCCTAGTGTGTGGATTACAGGTCCTCCCCTAAAGACGAGTCACGGTTACCACGACCTGATGCGACCACAACTCTATGATGCATAGGGGTATCTCTCGCACATGCATACGCTTCACCCAAAGGTGGATATCTGGTTTTTCCAAACAATCTATTGATATGTATGCTGTGTGATGGATCATGGATGAGGTTTTGGCCCCCGTATCTGTAGGCCTACCATCACACACAAGGGTCACATAGTCCCTCGGCTCAATCATACATGCATAAGCTCCAACCTCATCAAGGGATAACCCAGAACTTTTGTCGAATTATTTTCTATGCCCAGGTACCTTGGGTTTTCCAATCGACTGGCCTAGATCATCAAGCAAAGTCCGGTATCAGCAAATATCATTTGCTTAGTATGGTCCCTGAGGGACCACACTCCCACTGAAGTTTATGTTCCGCTATAATAAATGTCTTTCATTACATACTCATAAGCCCTTTAAAGGTCACATAAACGCAATATCTCCCACTTGGCCTTTGTAGGCCTTACATTCTCTCGTCCTCACTTTTTCTCATCCACATCTCTCTCATATGTCTTACAAAAATATTAGGGACAATTTTCTTAGTCAGAGGGTTTGCAATCATCAAATTTGTAGATATGTAGCTGATCTCGATCTCTTTCATTCTCACCTCATTTCTCAAGTGATAGAAGTATGATTTGATATATAGTTGGAATTCTTGTGAAACCGATGCTCTTTAGAGACACAAATAGCCATCGTGTTGTCGCAGAAAATCCGCACTGCCTCACAACGTACAGGATGCAAATTAAGTTGATTAACAAATGTTTTAATCGACATGGCCTCCTTGGCTGCTAGACAGCATGCCACATACTCGAATTCCATGGTGGATAATGCCACTACATCTTGTTTCTTTGATTTCCAAGAAACCGCACCTCCTCCAAGCATAAACACATACCCAGCTGTAAACTTCGCATCATCTGGATCTACAAGATAGCTTGTATCTGAATATCCCTCTATTGTTATTTCAGTTCCCCATTTATATGTGAGCGCATAATTCATGGTCCCCTTTAAATATTTGAGAATTCTTTTTACTGCTTTTCAAGACTCATCTTCTGGATTGCTTTAGAAACGGCTCACCAGATTCATGACGAAGGACAAGTCAAGTCTTGTTCCCGTCATGGCATACATAAGGGACCCAACTGCGCTCCTGTATGACACTCTCTCCATGATTCTTATATCCATGCCTTCGGTAGGATATATTTTATTACTAAGCTTTGTCATTTTGTCAATTGGAGTAGACATGAGTTTACACATACTCATATCAAACTTTTCCAGTATCCTCTTACAGTAGGTTACCTGGGAAAGTTGGATCGTCTTTTCTCTCATGTTTCTTATTATCTTGATGCCCAACACATATAAAACTTCTCCAAGATCTTTCATATCGAAGTGTTGTGTGAGGAAACTTTTTGTATTTACTACTAGGGCAATTGAGCTACTAATTATTAGCATATCATCCACATATAACGATATAAAGACCAAATCACTCTCACTGACCTTTTGATATATGCTATAATCTTCATTATTCGTAAAGAACCCTGCAATAGCAAGAGTCTCTTGAAATTTTATGTACCACTGTCGTGATGCTTGTTTCAAGCCATAAAGGGATTTATTAAGTTTGCATACTAGGTTTTCTTTCCCTTTCTCCTCAAATCCCTCAGGCTAGGTCATGTAAATTTATTCTTCTAAATCCTCATTTAGAAAGGCTGTTTT